GATTAGAATCAGAATTTGAATCGGAATAAAACTAACCCTTGTCGCCAGCGACAAAGCCCGGCGCGAAATGACAAGCATCACGCATGGCGATAGGCTCTGTCGTTTGGCGACAACTTTGTCGTTTGATGCTAATTAAAAGATAAAACATACCTTTGTAAGGAATCCTCTTCGTAATATAATTAAGCAATTAAACTCCGTTTTAATTAATTTTAAATAAGATTTTATCATAATAAAACACTTGTTTTATTTCAAATCAAAATCATTATTTTTCTAAAGAGAATAATTATCAATCCTAATGTTATTAGAACTCAAAATAACCTTCTATACTATTCTAGAAGATTAGAATTAATCCTAATAATTTTAGAAATAATAATTAGTTGGCCCTTCACTAGATCATTGAGCCATAAAACCATTTCAGACCCAATTTAGTAATTTGGCCATAACTTCCTCATTATTCCTTGGAATTGGACTTATAATATATCATTGGAAAGCTCTCTACGAACTTCACCCAACTACACTATTATTGGACCCTTGTCACTGACCAAGCTAAATTGGACTTGCTATTTTCATAAATAGAGAATATTTAGGAGGAAAGATTTTATTAAAACGACTCCATCACAAGACTTTTCACACTTTCACCTTATTCGATAATTAAGTGACGTGAAAAGTATTCATCACTGGGTTTGGTTTTCGGGGAGACACATTTGGGTGTCTACAGTTGCATATTTTTATTTTTTTTAATCAATTATGTTATTAATTTTCATGAACAAAAAAGAGAAAAAAAAAGTTTTTGACGGGAAATTTTTTAATACAAACGCGACACGTGTACTTTGGGGAAAGGGTTGGGGATTACTTTAGTATATTATTATTGATATAGCGGTATGCATCGTTTACTACAGTTTTGGTTGGACCCGGTTTTGGAGAAAATAGAAGGGTAAAAGGAAAATTGATATTTATACTTTATACTCTCTCCATTTCATAATGTTAGTCGCATATGGAATCAATCACATAAAATAAGAAAGAAATATATTTGGAATCTAATATTATAGTACAACATAATTCATAATTAGTTTACCTTATTTAACTTTTTTGATTTTTTATTAGGAAAACACAAGTCATAATTACATAATTTAAGGTAAAGATTTTGACAAGAGAATAAACGCGTCGTCAATTGTCTATCCCTAGATCAAATACAATTTATACAACCTAAACAAACCTAATACGAGAATAAGGCAAGCATAGGGGTCGAACCACAAGGAACGAATAAACACCACCAAATGTTATCGACAATTAAGCTAGTTAGGAATAGAAGATAAATAAACTAAAGTCTAAAGATGCTAAAACAAGAAATAAAACACTAAGAGAAATGGTTTAGGTATAGCATTCACTTGAACATAAACAAAGGCATAGAAATTGAATTAATTATGAACTAAACATGCTCGAATATCGAAGTAAAGGATCCAATCTAGCCGCCTTCCGAGGTTAATTGGCTTCTCCTAATATAGCCTCTATGTTTCCACATTAGAACCATATACTAGGAGGTACTATTAAATAACAATCGATAATAATGAACCCTAGCTAAGTCAACTTCTATTCCTTGTTAGCAAAGATTCAACTTTAATCAACCAACAATGTGCACTTGCAAGAAGATTAAAGAATATCAAGCATATAAAGACTTTAATCACAAATAAATCAATTCTAAACCCTAGAACATGCTCAAGATCCAACTACACCACAACCATCCCCTTAATGGGGGAATTACTCACTAATCATGATAACAACAAGATTAATCAACAAATAATCAAGAATCAACATGATTAACAAGCAATACCAACAACAAAAATAATAATCAAAAGAAGGCAAATAAAATAGAGGAGAGAAAGTTACAATTCTCATTGATTGAATGTGAAAATCTACAAGCAAGATGATCAATCTTCCTCTTCAATATCCAAGCTCAACAATGGTGAAACCCTCACTTTCTCTCTCTAAACTACTCTAATCCTAAGCTAAACCTAAAGAGAGAAGCTCTCCTAAAAACTAATTAGAGAATAGAATAATTGTTCATTGTCTCCTTTTATAAAATGGGTATTTATACTAAGCTAGCCAAAATAAGAAAAATAAAAGAAGGAAATAAAATAAAGAAAGAAAAGGAAATAAAAAGAAATAAGAAAAGAGAAAGGAAAAAGGAAATAAAAATAAAAATAAAAGAATAAATAAAAATTAAATTAAAACTAAACAAATTCCCCACAAAACATCAGACCCCTTTCCTTCCTTCGCATTTGGCTGCTCTGAACTCCATTGAAGCGCATCACCATCACCACCGTTCATCAACCATCATCATCAAATCGTCACCGCTCATCCTCATCGTTTATCATCAAGCATCAAATAAAAAACCGTTCGATCTTCATTAAGAATCACGCGTAGATCTCGTGAAATGGTTCGGTCGAACCGAGGGTAGGTTCGACCGAACTACGGGGTTGGTTCGGTCGAACCATAGGTGTGTTCGACCACAACTCTTCAATTTAGAAAACTTCGAAAGTTTTTTACTGTTTTGGCATTTCGACCGAACTCTTCAACGGTTTGCTCGAACCCAAATGAACTTGCATTTTGCTCTAATTTTAGCTTGTTGTTGTGCGATTTGTTGCTATGGCTGGAGAAGTTGAGGAGCTGCGGCAGGGGTGCGGTGCGCGGTGGCCGGAGATCGCGCGACTGCTGTTGTAATTGATGCTGGGCTGGTGGTGAAGTGGGTGTTGGTTGGATGTGGCTGTGATTGGAGGGTGGTGGTGGCTGTAAATTGGTGCGGTTTAATTGGTAAGTGTGGTGACTGATGGAGTCGGGAAAGTGATGTTAAGGGTGGCTGAAGGTGAAGATACGGGCTGGTGGTTGGTTGGTTGAGTGAGGGAGCAGGGGAAAGGTTGGTGGCTGCGGCTGGTGGTAGATACGGAGATAAGGTGATGTGAGAGATGATTAAAGGCAGGAGGGGCTGCTCCTGTTGTTTGGCTTACGACAGAGATTGATGTGGGCTGGTTTAGGTGGCTGAAGATTGAGTTGTTGCTATTGGTGAAGGTGTGTGTGGGTTGCTGCTCTGTTGCGTGAGGGAGGTAGAGGTAGGGGTGTTAAAAAATATCCGGTCAGAAATATCCGATCCGAAAATCCGATGATCTGATCCGAAATTTCGGATATCCGATCCGGTTTTTGAGGTTTCGGATATTTCAGATCGGATATCCGAAAAAAATTTGGGATTTTCAGATCGGATACGGATCGAATTTTGTCCGAAAATTTTAACTACCCAATCCGAAAACCCGACTATCCGATCCGAAAATCTGGATATCCGATCCGAAAATTTCGGATCAGATTCGGATCGCAATTTCTCCGATCCGAAAATTTCGGATATCCTAATTTTCGGATCGGATCGGATATCCGAAATTGAACAGCCGTAGGTACAGGGGCTGCTCTATGGTTTCGGTGGTGAGGTGGAGTTGATTGGTGGCTGTTGTGAGGTGAGGGTGGTGCGTAGGAAAATTGGAGGATAAGGAAGGTGGGGTGACGGATAGGAGGCAGCAGGGGCTTGATGTTGGGTGGCAATTGAAAAGCCTCAACTTGGACCTTGAACTCGAGCCTACACACAAACAAACCCGAGGGTAAAAGTGTGAAACCGAGACAAATAAAATACAATAAATAAAATAAAATAGAAAATAAGAGACATAAAACTAAACTAATAATAATTAAACAATAACTATACAAGCGAAGAAAGTAAAATAAAATAACAAAATAAACATAAAGCTAATTAAAGCTATGAAAGTAACAAAGAAAAGGAAAGAAATAAAATAAATCGAAAGCAAATAAAATACGAAAATAAACTAGAAACCAATTAAATAAAGAAATTAATTTAAAACATACTAAAACTAAGAAATAAACTAGAAACTTTATTAAAAAGAAAACAAGAGAATAAAAGGGAAAATAAAGGAAAATAAACACAAAAATAACTCTAAAACTACTCCCTAAGAGTGACATAAATGTCACTCATCAGATTTCCTTACTTGGAGTCAGGTCATCAATCCACAACCAATTAATTCCAAAAAAAAAAAACAAGTTATAAATGAAATAAATTCAATATGGACAGATCTTTTTAAAACGCCCAAAATAGTATATGAGACTAACATTATGAAATAGAGGGAGTACTACGTAATAGAGATTTATTTCTTACTAGTTTGGTGTCCCGTTCGATGCCCGGGCTAAAACGTCAAGTGTTGTTGTCTCGTTCTGGCTAAACTTATAATTTATTTTGTACCCGATAAATATTAGTATTTTGTCGGAAATAAAACTCAAAACCAAAAATTTTATTATCCTATTAATCTATTAAAATTTATTGGAAATAAAACTCTAAACTAATTTTTTATACTACAAAATCTATCTTATGTGTCATACTAACATTTAATTGTTGCCTACGTGAGTTGAAACGCTAAGTGTTGTTGTCTCGTGACCTGATCAAAAGTTTAGCTTTATATATTAGTTACTTTCTCTTTGACACGTTCAATTTAGACACACATAGGAGAGAGGAGAGAAAGTGAGAGAATGATAAAAGCAAGCGGGATACAATTAAAAAGTAAGGTATAAAACTTACCCAAATAAAAAATGTGTCGAACTAAAACATTCTTTTTAAAAAGAAATACGTGTCAATCTATATCTATACTTAGTATTTAAAAATGCAAACCAAAAAAGACATATGTCATCATTCTATTACACTTTCCTATCTTCTTATTCAACTCAATGTGTCACATGTCGTTTTACATTTTTTATTTTTAATTATACAGTTTTTTTCTTAACTCTTTCGTTAAACACTTCATCTTCATCTCCCCTCTTAAATTTAACCTTTTTTATTTTCCTCTTTGATTTTAGTCCCTCCATCTTCTACGTGCCTACGTCCCATTAAGTTTCTATCGTTGAATGACTCCATAAAAACCCGCCACAGTCCGTAACTCCGTATTTAATAAACGGATCAATCCACTCATAACTGGAGCAGGTAAGGACTTTTATTGGGGCTCTAAACCCATTGCATTCAAATGCTCTAACTATCAATAAGTGAAAAGAAACCTCCTCCTGCTCCCCTCCAGGCCTCCATCTCTCAGTTCTCCATTGTAGCGCACTCAACATTCTCCATTGAAGCGCACTTCACTTTTTCAGCAGCTTCTGAGGTAACTTGTTCTTTCTTTTTTTGTAATCATCATTTTAATTTCACAATCTAGGGTTCATCTTTCATCTAATTTTAATCATTTTAATATTATTGTTAGGGTTCGAAAATCTCAACTATTGGTTCTAATTACTAAGATTATTAATGATCATAACCAGCGAATTATGTTGTTAGAAAAGAAAATTCTGAGCCTAATTCGATAATTGAAATCCCTAAAATTATGAGCCTAATTCGATGATTGAATCAAATTTGGTTGCTAATGTATTGCATAACCCTTTAATGTTAGGATTAAACTATGAAATTTGATAATAAAATCAAGTTTTTTTAATCACGGTACTTCAATTCTGATGCAGACAACGAATATTCACAATGTCTGAAGCAAAAGGTAATGAAATTGGTGATATCGATTTCGCTTGGGGTATAAAGAGAGGGCGTGGTGGCCAAAAGAAGGAGGTGCGATTCTATGACTCTTTTACGTACGATGGTGTGGAATACTTTCTCTACGATTCCGTATATCTGTTTAAAGAAGGTGAAGAAAAACCTTATGTCGGTAAGCTTATCAAAATTTGGGAACATACAATTACTAATGCAAAAAAGGTTAAAGTACTTTGGTTTTTCTACCCTTGGGAAATATCAAATTATCTTAACGGTGAGAATGTGATGGAAAATGAGCTATTTCTAGCGAGTGGTGATGGCAAAGGCTTGGCAAATATTAATCCCTTGGTAATATTATCAAGACTCTTCTCATGTCTTTTACTTTATTTTGTTATATATTCGTAGTTTTTGAATTGAAAGTTTGCCGAAAATCATGTTTGTGAACAATTGGAGATCTCTAATGTGGTTTATAGGGCTTCATGTTAATCAAGCAATTTTCCCTTTATGTGAGAGTATATTATGCGATAGTATATTGTAGCTCAACGATTATTGTGTTCAAAATAGACTAGTGTAAGTAGAAAGTCATATTTAGGGATTATATATTGTACTACCTCCGTTAAGTTTTATTTGCAAATTTGAGGTGCAACACGGATCCCAAGTCAAAATTTCAAAATGGTGATTTTGGAATGAAAGGGTTTGTAATTATGGAGGAAAGTGATAAATTAAACATGATTAGTAAACTACCCAAGCCACTGGTGACGAGGCCACCACCACCGAAACCACCTAAACCACACCAGCCACCACCACCGACACCCCCTTAAACCCAAACTACCAACACCATTGCCGAAACTCCCAAACCCAGGCACCACAACCACCAAAACTCCCAAACCCAGACCACCACAACCACCAAAACCCAGACCACCACAACCACCGACACTGACGAAACTCCCGAACCCACGCCACCACAACCACCGACACTGCTGAAACTCCCAAACCCAGACCACCACACCATAACTGACACCGCCGAAACATCCTAAACCCGGCCTAGACCACCGATGGACACTAGTGAAACCCCTGACACCACCTAAATCTAGACAACCCATCAACACCAACACTATCGACACCACCCATAAAACCCACGAAAATCACTGAAACCGCCCATAAACCAACCTAAAATAATCGAAACCACCCACAAACCCGACATATATCACCGAAACCACCCACAAATCCACTGAAACCCACAAATCCACTGAAACCCTTAAACCCAGAATACCCACAAACCCACGAAAATCATCTATTCCACGAAAACAACATGTGGATGTGGATCGGAGTCTTGCCGGAAAACCACCATAGCCACGACGACGTTGCTGCTAGTGCTTGCCGGATCATCGAAATCAATGGAGGTTGCAATTGAGAGGAGAGAGAAAGAGCCAAGTTGGGAGTTGTTAGATCTAGATTAAGTTGTTAGTGCAATGTAATTAATCATTTAAGTGAATGTTTAATTTTTAAAATAAGGGCAATATTGACATTTCCAGCAAAAAAAAACTTACTAAAAAGGGAAAGATTTGCGAAAGTTGCAAATAATACTAAGCATCCAAATATAGTAAAAGTTGCAAATAAAACTTAACAGAGGTAGTAATTTTTATTTTTTTTTCACAAAATAACCATCATTTTTTTTTTTTAAATTCTCCCTTTGTTTCTTGTTGTTCCTCTCACCATTTACATTAATTTGGTGATTATTTTTGGCAATTTTCTTTCTCTATCTTATCCCACCCCCACCCTAACCCTAACCCTCACCCTCACCCTCACCCTCGGTGGTGTATTGGACCTACTTAAACCCATAATTTGTAGTTTTATACCTTAGTCTTTCTTTCGTCTCTAAAAAGTGGAAATGCCTAGGTCTTTTGCCCTTGAATTTCTTCTTACTTGAACCATTGAAAATGGGTAGGGCATTGAGGACTAGAGGGACTTCAAGAAGATTTTTATTTACTTACTTTCACTTAAGTTGATCCATCCAATTATGTGGTTTGTGATTCCCTAAATTCCTCATTTCCTTTAAAACCAATCGCCTTACCTTTTCCTTTAGATCACTTCCACTATTACCATTATTGTAGTTCCCTTACAAACCACCACAAACTCTTGCTTTAATGATTTAACCACCACAAACTCACCCTTGTCAGCAATTTTTTCTATATATATATATATAGGGTAATGATATATGTAGCCCTTAGGGCTATATATAAGCATTAAATATACTACCTAAAATGGAAATAATTGGGAATTCACGACAAAATCATGTGCAAATTGGTGTAATTAATGTTAATTTATCCTCAATATTTCCTCTTTAAGCTTCTTATACATAGTCCTAAGGGCTTCCTATACTACCTCTATTTTTTTGGTCCTACTCACTTTACTTTGTTTAACTTTTTGCAAACCCTTTTTATTAACTTGCATAACTTTTTGCAAACCCTTTTTATTAACTTGCATCTTGTGGCCTGCAATATTTTCACTTTTTACACAGTTTCTTTGTTACTTTATTACTTTTTTCTTATACCTACACCTTTTTGTTACTCATTTCTTACTTTATCCATTTTTTTTTCTCACACTCACTCATCTTTTAAAAACCTATTTTTGTTTTTGTTTTTTTAATTTATTTTTAATATACAATCTACAATAATTCAGCTCAAAATATGTGAAGGTGGTAGTAATAATTTTTAAGGGGAAAAAATTACATTAGGAAACCTTTATCATGATTCATGAGTTGAAACTACATAAAAAAAACAAAAAAGAAGTGTGTGCTAGTACCAGCATCTATGCACATGTGGCCTACATTAGTACTCCACTATGTTCCTCAATTTTTCTCTTATTTTTTTTTTAATTTTTATCTACGAAGTATAAAATTACTAATTTTCTAGTTTTCAAATTTATACAGATTTTGATCATTGATGTGGGTCATTTTCATGAGATTGCCGATTTTGTTTTACCATGTTTATTATAAGCTACTTAATTCTATTGATATCCATGAATAGGTTTTAATGCCTATTCCCAAAGCTAGTTGGATACCATATGATCCATGGCTTCAATGGTTCAAACTTATGATTAAAATTGCCTTAGGTGTTGTGTTACCCTCAAGGAATCTAAATTAGTTTTTTTTTTTTTTTTTTTTTTTTTTTTTTTTTTCCCAAAAGCAAGTCCCATGATATAGAAGATTTTGATTCCTTTTAAACTAATTGCACCACAAAATTGCCATTGAAGTAGCATTCCATAAATATATGTTCTTTGTCCCAATTGCTCTAGTACTCTTGATTTCCCATGTACATCTTACAAAACTAATTAAGAAATGCAACCAAGACACATCCCAAAAATTTATGTGATATAGCGAATTCATTTTTCCATTATTGATAATGATGACATGAAAGCTATTACTTTAAAAGAACAAATTCTTTCCAAGTATAAAATTGGCTTTAGTACTAGAGGAGGTTATCTAGTATCATGTTCACATGGTGAAGGCAACTCACCTAAGTCTTGCATGGGGGAATCACTAGCCTAGGATAAAGGAAAATCTAGGTGATGCTTCTTACTTTCATTCAGGTGATGCTTAAGTTTTTTGTGCATTTTATGCTGTTACTTTTTTTTCAAAAAAAAAGTGCTCCAATATATATAGGTTGGTAATATTGGAATTTGGTATTTTATATGTCCTCCACAAAGTAAGGTTACCAATAATGATGATGCTATAAGTAACAAAAATGGCGCTTGAAATAGTTTTAAAAAGCAGAAGGTGCAATGATCTACAACAAGGACGCTGAGATTTGCCGCAAGGCTACTTTTGGTGAGTCGTAAAGTGCCTGATTGCCATTTGGATTGTTTTTATGGTTGTAGTGGTTGCTCTAATCAAGAGAGAGGGGAATTTTAATGTGAGAAAAGGCTAATGTGTGAATATGACTTCCCTATGCTTTAGCCCCAACCGCACCCGTGTATAAGTTCTTACTCAATTACAAAGAAAAAAGATAGGTGGCACCCTTTTTATTTCCCTATTCTTAGTAAGCTTAGTGAATAGGTGATGTCCCTCTATTTCCCTTTTAAGGAATTAATGTGACAACCTGTTAGCAATGACAATAAGCACCTTCCAACCCACCCCCCTTCTCTTTTTTTGGTACTCTCTCTTAAACTTGACATAGCTAAAGTAACAGGACATCTACCCCATCCACACCTCTCTATAAGTTTACCAAATTATAGTAACCTAATTATAAAGCTTTTCTTTCCTTATTTTTGTCACCTAGGTCACAGGTGATGCCTTTAGGGATTAATGTGACAATTATGAACATGTGACACCTCCCATTCTCTCTCTCCATTGTTTGTTTTGTTCTTTTGGTTTAAAGAAGTTAAATGTGACATAGATGTGTAGCGTGAAAGCCCCACCTTACCTTACCTAATTTTAAAGGGGAGAGAAAATTTGCACCTTTTTTCATTTGTTGTGTCTCTAGGTGAATACGTCATGTCCCCTCTTGACCCCCGCAATTATGTGTAATCTTGACAACCATGACTAATGACACATGACACACATCTCCTCTTTTATCTTTCTTTTGTTTTAAATTTTCAATACCGAGCTCTCGTAATTATCACTTCACTATTAGGCTATGTTTTCTTCACCACAATTTTATTAGGTGTGATTGGTTTATTTGACTTGATTTGAATTTGTACGTTTATTTATGAGAAAAAAAATATTCAATTGGGGTCTTGTTAGATCCATCATAATGTTAAGTAGTATTTATAAAAATGAAAATTTAGATATTTGCCAATAGCCCTCCACCCCCACCCCCACCCCCTTCCTAACTTATGCTTTCCATAATAGTGGTTTTATTTATTAATTATTTATGATTGTGGCATGTTTTTGGAAAGTAGAAATTATGATAAATTTGTTTATAAGAATCTTTGGAAACAAGTGTGCATCTCCTACGAGAGTTGTGTGGCTTCACCTTGGATCCATGCCATGGACCTTGTGTCTTTGGCATGCCTTCTAAAACTAAAGCACTTCACTCGAGTAATGGTTATGTCTATCTCTAAGGATGATGGAAAGATGAGAGGTTGAGGCTTTTTAATTCGATCTTGGTTTTTGTTTTCTTCGGTGGTTAAGTAGTTGTTTTTTTATGGAGAATGATGTGGAGGTTGAGGCTCACAACATGCTTTTGGAGCTATTGTGGCTTTTGCGCACCGAAAGAAACATGGAGGACTCTGTACAAATCCTACCGGAGATGATGATGAATGTATTTCTTAATGAGAATTGTACACAACCTTAAATGCAATGACATGTATTTACCACTCACGCATAACATTTGGTAGTATGGTTTGTGTAGATTCAAATGTCAGAAGTTGGATTGTGCTTGTGATTGGGTTATGTGATTAGTCGATCACATTTTGATTTAAGGGGGTTGAGTTAATTAAGTTCTTGATCGATTTTCTCAATTCTCGCTTTTTTCAAAGTGAATCTTTTTAATATTCATTTTTCATTTTACAAAGTGGTTTTGAAAGCCTTATATTTTAGGTGGGCTATTCTTGGCTTAGCTCAACTTGAAGTCAACAAGAGAACCCGTATGCAATGAACATAAACAATTCCCATTATCATATTTTGTAATGATATTAGGTTCTACACTATTTAAAAATAGTTTTTTGGGTACAACTTGAAATAAAATCGAAATCTAACACGACCGTTGATTAAAATTACCACTCCTAAAGTCCTAATTGCTGGTCACCTCTCCTTAGTAATTTTCTTCACATAAGATGAAGGGTGAATTGTAGAAAATTATCCCCTCCGTTTCAAATTGATTTTCTCACTTGGAATCTTTTGTGTAAATTAAAGCAAGGGAAAAATCTTGAAAGAAAGTACATTTAGACAATTCAAATACAATAGGACCATCCTTTATTTGGAATAAAGTACATTGAGACCACTTATTATTTTGGAATAAAGTACATTGAGATCATTTATTTTGGGATTGAGACCATTAAAATGAGGGTAATATGGGATATAATGAGGATAAGTGAGGAATTTAAATAGAAATTGACAAGATCATTTTGAAACACACAAAATAGAAAGTGAGAAGATCTTTTTGAAGCGGAGGGAGTACTAATTACTATTCCGTCGACAGGGTTAAAGTACAAGGTTATATCTGCCCTTTTTTAAAGACTTTTTGTCCAAGGGAGTCAAAATTTAGATATTCATTACTCTTGGTTTCGTTCCTTTATTTAAGCACATGAGATTTTTTCCCTTTGTATAGGTGACACCCCCTTGGTGTTACTCTTATATATATTTTTTTTGAAACAAGGTGTTACTCTTATATCTCTTCACTAATATAAAAAAAAAAAAATCTTTCTTGCTCTTCGTCTCACTTCAACTTTAGTAAGGTGGGAAATTTCTTATTTCTTTCTTGCTCGATGACGCCATTTTGATTAGTTGGAAAATTTATTTTATTTCAAATTTACAACGTATACTCCCTTCGTTTCATAGTGTTAGTCCCTATGTTAATCGAACACGGCTAAAATAGCGAAGTGTTCGAGTTGACACGGTAGGACACAAACACGGATGCGGGACATGTGTTCGACAGTTCATCGTGCAATCGACACTTCCATTAAGAGTGGAGAGGAAAAAAGAGGAGAAACATGAAAGAAAAACACATCTTTTTCAAAAATCACCATTGATATAGAGAAGATGGAGAGAAGAAGACTGCTATTTAATGGAGAATATACCTAGTAAAGAATTAAAATTTAAAAAAATAGGGGTGGATGTAATGAATAACTTAAAACTTTTGTAATATATAATTTTATACTACCTCCGGTCCAAATTATTCGCAACTTTGGGGTATTATTTGTGAGATATAAAATATTCCAAAGTTGCGAGTAATTTGAATCGGAGGTAGTATATAACTTTAAGTAACGTATTGATGTGTCCCCGTACCTGTGTGCAAATTCGGACAGAGTCCCCGTGTCCAAAAATTTTGGAACTCGACGGATTGGACACTTGGACATGTGTCCGTGTCCGACACCCGTTCCCGAGTCCATGTAACACAGTTTAGTCCCATTAAGAATCGTTTACGTAAATTAAAAACAGAGATATTCTTGAAATAAAGTACATTTTGAGATCATCTTTTTTTTTTTGAAATATAATACGTTGTGGCCAGTACATCGGGACCATTTTTTTTTATTGGGACCATTAAAGTTTAACATAGCTATGTTAACGAGACTTTTTATCTCACCTCAAGTATCCGTGTTGGACCCTTGACACTTGTACATCATACATCGGACATGGGTAGGGCGCAGTTAGACACTTCATCTTAATTAATAAAATAACCGAGCTAGATACTTGGACATGTATGCGTGTCGGACATGGATACCCAAGTTCAAGCAACATAGTTGCACGGGACCATCAAAATGAGGATAATATGAGAAAATAAGGACATGTGAGGATTAAAATAGATAGTGAGACTATCTTTTTGAAAAGCCCGAAGTAGAAAATGGGACTAAAAATTTGGAACTGAGGGAGTATTATTTTTCCAAGATGGAAAACTACATGAGGGGAAGGTTTGCCTTCTTTTGTGTTTGTATTTTGTGTGAACTCAACTTTAATGGTTGGATATTACCTAATTCAAGATCAAACGATAAATGTCTATTATTTGGATTTCATTATGTTCTTGCATCGCGGTTTAGGGGAAACCAATGCAATCTAAGTACGGGAAGCGTGTGATGCTTGAATATTACGCTTTTTTGGCCCTAAGTCGATCCTTTGGATGTGCTTAAATTATATGCATATTCTCCGGGATCCCATTAAGTATTAAGATCACATGTTAAACTTGGTTGGCCACTTTCAATTGGTCGTAGATGCTGATTCTGCTCTTGTCAATTCAGGAAGCAATTGCTGGGAAGTGCAATGTTGTTTGCATTTCCAAAGACGAGAGAAATCGGCAACCCTCAGCTCAAGAACTTAAGATGGCGCATCATGTATTTTATCGCACATTTGATGTCCAAAATCATACCGTTTCGGATACACTGGGTGAAAAAATAGCCATGACTGAGGGTGTGTTCTTGTGCCTAGCAGTTTTATTTATTTATTTATTTTTTCCTCGTGAGAAATTCTATGTTTCTTGACACTTTTTCTGTCGCTTGTCTGTCACAGTCAATTTGTTATTAAACAAAAATGATTTCCAGCCCCTTGATCTTTGTGTGGTAGATAGTGAGAATACCGCTGTGGGTTTAGAGGAATCATTGATTTCTCATAAATATATTCTTGGGGCTGATGGTACTATGGAGCGTGATGCCAGTAAAGGCTCTCTATTGATGAAAGATAAACAAGAGGCAAAAAGTTTACTGGATAAGTCAAAATGTCATCATGTAAGAAACACTGATGTTGATGAACTTGATAATTCCGATTTAGTCGCGGGGAGGAAGAAAGTGCTGGTCAATAAAGATCTTAAAGGAGTAGATGAGGATGAAAATTATGATGATAAAGGTTCGAAAGGAGATGGCAATGCTGATGTACCTGATGGTCTTGGTCGTGTGGTTTTGCCTGTTACTGAAGCAGCCTTGGCTTCTAGTGGGCAAAAAAGATTAAGAGCACCGGATTCCAAGAAAAATGACGTGAATGAGAAAGGTGTGGTTCCACTTGTTGCTGCTGCTGAAAACAAAAAATCCAAACTAGTGAAGGACAATCACCAGGCTATTGTTGCTGGTGCAGAAGTAAAGTCTGATCACTCTGATGACAAGCCATTCAAAAAAATCAAGATTGATGGCACTGATCTGCTATCAAGTGGCAATGGTGGGACTAGCACTCCAAAATCTGCCACTGTTGTGATCAACAAGGGCTCTCATTCTGCTGTTCGTATAGATTCTAATAAGAGAGGCAGGCTGATCAAAGAATCCAATGGTATGAGCAATGGCCTTTCTAAAAAGCTCAAGTCAGAAGGAAAATCTGATGACAAGCTGCTTGACGTGTCTGCCAAACAATCCAAAGATAAGGAGGGGTCTGCTGCTCTTTACATTTCAGCTAATAAGGCTTCACAATCTTCTAATGGCGATGCTGAAACTGATAATAAAGGCAAATTTAGTAGGAAAATAGCTGGTACAAGTAATGGCCTTTCAAAAAAGCTGAAGTCCAATAGCATGGTAGAGGATAAATCCAATGATAATTTGCGTAAAGCACTCATTAAGAAGCCTATAGATGAGGAAGCTTATGATTGTGTTAAGGAAGTCACTCAACGACCACCTGTAAGTTTTCTCTCGTGCGTAGAATATTTTTACTTCTCTTACCTTACATCATTATTTATAATTGGTTTTCTTTTTCTTTGTCCCATTCCATATCCAAAAATCAATGTAGTTCTTCTATGTTCATTTTCCTTGCACGCTTTAGTAAGATTACTCTTTATTAGATGAACCTTTGTGCTCTTAGAGCATGATTCTGAAACGTATGGATATTTGTCAAAGTGATGATTGTAGCATAATTGCAAAAATATGATTTTAAGGTTTCTAAATATGTCTTCATTCGTTAACAGTATGTATCCTAGAGTAGTTTGTCTTAGAGATGGGAAAGAAGTGTCATTGAGCTAGATTAGTTACTTCGTCCAACAATATGACCCCTTACCCACTAACATTATAATTTGGCATCACTTTGCTTACTACTTTGCTTTAAAAACAAAGTTCATTTATATCATTCAAAAAGGAGATGACCCACTACCCACTAACAATGCGCTTAACTACCAACTATCACATTTTAAGATGTTTAAATCAACTATCTTATTTAAAATGTTGTTGATCAAAGTGAGTGCTACTAATTCTCAGTTCGAGTAAGGCTAAGGTAGACAAACCCATTTTTATTTACTCCCTTTATTTTTTTAAGTGCCCCATACCCTTGGGCACATAGATTAAGGCAAAAGAATAAAATAGTGTGAGTAGATATGGTTAGGAACAATTTTTTTTGAAAAAGCAAGAAAAATATGAATGGTACCACTAGAAATAATGTGATGAGGAGAAAATATTATATAATGATAGTAGGGTTAAAAGGAAGAGAGAGAAATGATATAACACCTCCGTTTTTTTTAGCTGACACGTTTTGACTTTAGCACTGTTCACACACCTCTCTTCAACTGTGTTTTGTTATTTATATGTAATAAAAATATAATCATCTGGGGCCTTGTTAGATCTGTCGCGGGATATTTTTTCAAAATATCAACTTTTTATAATTTTTGCTTTTAGGTAATTAAAGATATCAACGGTTGAAGTCGTGCATTGGCAAACGTGACTAAAGAATTGTGTCAAATATGAGAAACGGAGGAAGTATAATATGATTGGGGTTTCCACTTTTGGTAATGGGGCACTTAAAAAAAAAACCAAAGGGAGTGCAAAATAAGATTAGACAAAAGCACAAATATTATGAGTAAGATAATAATTAAAAATTGTCTCATTAACCCAAAGAGAATCCAATGTTTTAAATACCTAGTTGTGGTCAAACCTTAAAGCATACATTCTAGACCCATTGAGTCAAACCACATGAATAGAAAAGAAAAGAGAGAGAAATCAAAATAGATAGAGAGAATGATCTTAATATGTAAGATACCTTTAACCCTATTCGCTACCTAAATATGTTTAATTAGCCCAAAAGTGCTTAGTTGTTCCGATACACATGTTCTAAAACATAGTGTCATATTCCTCGGGGTGACATAGGTTCTTTTTTTTTTTTTTTTTTTTTTGGAAAGGTAGTCATAATGAGAATGAAAGAATAGAATGGTGAGAAATAGTGTAATAAGAGTGAAAGAATGGAATAATTAGGAATCATATAATGAGAATAGGGGTAACTTAATATTCCTTTACCACTCGTAAACTTCGATTCAGGTTGTGTGCTCCAATCCTCAATATTCTAGTATGCTACCTAATTTTTCCAAATTAACATGCTATTGGGCTTTTGTATATATGATGAGAATGGTGTTGATAGGGGTGTTAGTGAGCTGAGTAGAGTCAGACAACACCTGCTTGGTCAAAGTTTGCCTCCAGCGACAAGTTTGGTTTCAGCTCAAGATCTTAACAAGCCAACTTTGGGCTTTTGTACTTTTTAGTAGAATGGTGTGGATAAGGGTTTTGATAAGCTGAGCCTGTGACTTCTCGATTCTCGGCCTGACTCGAGTTTGGGTTTAGCTCAAGATCTTAATAAGCCAAGCTTGAGCCAAACTCGTGAACAAGCTTGAATTTTTTTGTATCAATATCTTTTTTTATAAAACAATTTATAATCTAAGATAATATATTGACAACAAGGGATTTTTGTCATATATGAAGGCCTTATTTTAGGGAGTCTGTTATCTACTAAAATAAATTATAAAAATAGGTATGAGAGTAGATCAAATATTTTTATTCAAGCCTAAGATCAAGCTGAGCCAAGTCTAGGAGCTATGAGCTCAAAATCTAGCTTCATCTAGCTCGAGCCAAGTTTGAGCCCACCAATGTCGAGATGGGCATGGACTCGACTCGGCACATTGACACCCCTATGGTGTGGATTTGTTGTTTGCCTTTTGTGGCGAGCTTTGACATGGGAAAACTTGCATAAAAAAAATCAAGAGCTACAAGAACCCTATATTAGAAAATCAAGGCATCAAGATATGATGGTCGAAAGGATATTGGTCGTCTGAGTGATGTGATTTTGTGAATATATTAGCTTACTATAAATTTGCGTTGTTCGCATGTTGTACTAGGAGTTAGAGCTTCTGTTTGAGAGTTGTGGAGGAATCTAATTTACTTATATCGTCGTCTTCTTTTCCCTAAAGAAACACACTTTCCCAATTTTTGTCACCCTAGCCTAATCAAATAGAGTACTACTTTATTGACATAAGAATAACCAATTGTTTTAAGTAATTATGACATTGAAGATAAAATATCTGTACGTTTAATATAGTATATTATTTCATAGCATAGTATGATCTCGAAAACTGTATTAAATAATTATCAGCTAGTTTTTTTCAAAGACTTTTTTGTTCTGCACTTCGTTCTATCTGCAACGCTGCTCTATAATTCTCTATGAAATTAAAACAATTATTATAAATTGTCTAAGATCTTAGGTGAGCCACAAATGTAAAGATGTGTTTTTTTAACTAAAAAAAAACTATGAGGTTTTAATGAGCACATCACATTGTTTGAGCTATGGCGCTTTGAGACACATCAAGTGTAATGTCCCACATTAGATGGTGAGCAACTTATAAGAGTTTAATGCTTCTACTTTAGCAACAAACCTTTTTTTCTTTAAGCTTAAGTTGGTCTTTATGTGGGCCCATTAAAGGACTACCTTCCATTATGGGTCTTAGAGTTATAATCTTGGATCATTACAATTAAGATACTTCTAATTTAGTAATTGTGTTTCAATTGATGATTCTTTGTTTATGATGACATTTTTGCTTTTTCTATAGATCTCTATATTGATACCCCTTGGCTAAGTGTGCTGATGTTATCTTATGCCTCTTTCTTATTTATACAGGACCGGAGTAAATGGTTCACAGCAAGTGTAAGTATTCTTCTTCAAGCTTAATTGTGGCATTTATTATAATTTTTTGTTGTTTTGCTAATTTCCCTCAGTTTTTGAAATACTTGTATACTTGCAGAACTATATTTAAACATTTTAAAATAAATAAGTGTATACTTTTTTCGTTTCATATTAGTTGACACATTTTATTTAGACGCATTTGCCAATTCATAACTTCAAATAATAATATATTCATATATTTTGATAATATCTGTTCAGACAAATCAGATTAGACCCCACTTGACTATGTTTTTTCTTTGGGATAAATCACAAAATGAAATCAGAAGAAACGTATGTGAATAGTGGCAAAAGCCAAAACATGTCAATGGAAGAAGTGTTTGGTTACATGCGAGTGTCAATAAACTATGTATTATTAGGTGCAATATTATTGAATTTAATAATGTGCATGGTAACTTGTTTTTGTGAACTACTTCCTCCGTCCCCCATAATACCCCATAATACTTGACACAATTCCCATTTTCCTCTGTCCTACAATACATGATACGTTACTAAATATAGAATGGGACTACTTCTAAAAAAATATTTCCCCACAGTCCCACTCCCACCCCACTTTTTTTTTTCTTGTAATATAAAAATACAAATAATAAATGTTTTAAATAGACTCACTTGTAGTTTTCTTGAACTAAGTGTCTACCCCAATGTCCCAAGTATTATGGGACGAAGGGAGTAGTAAACTAAATAGAATGAACACAGATAAGGATTTGGTCTTAGGTTGGGGGTGGGAGGGTTAGAAGAAATGTGTTTGTTCTTGTAAATAACACGAAGCGGTTTTTGATAGAATCATACCAATATTCTTTTTGTTCATTTTTTTAATAATTACATGTCTTTCTATATACTACCTCTGGTTCAATTTACTCGCAACAAAGGGGTATTATTTGTGAGACATAAAATATTCCTTTGTTGCGAGTAAATTGAACCAGAGGTAGTAGTTGTTACTTGTACGAGTGTGAAAATTTTGGTAGCTTCTGTGTATGATCTGAAAATTATTGTTTGAATTATTACTTCGATTTTTACAATTATTAGTATATAATCATATAACTAATATATAAAGCTAAACTTTTAGCCAGGTTACGAGGCATCGACACTTGGCGTTTTAACTTTTCGCCAAGTGTCGCGCCACGTTGGATAAATTTAAATAGACTTCATAAGATTAAAAAGTTAATTTAAAATTTTATTTCGATAATTCGTATAATTTTAGGATAAAATTGTTAATTTAGAATTTATTTTCAATGAAATACCAATATTTCTGAGGTACAAATTGAATTATAATTTTGTTATAAATTTTTTGATAAAATATAGCAAATCGTCATAAAGCACATCAATTCCTAACTAATTTTGTATCAATGATATATTTAAAAATTTGACATATAGATTAAAAATTTATCTTCAATAAACAACCCGGGCATCGCACGGGGCACAAAACTAGTATATATTAATCCTATTGGCACTCTTTAATTGAGTTTTTTCTAAAGAAACTAGACTAGGTATATGTTTTTTCTCTGTTCATTCCAGTTACCCGGAACGCGGGACAATAGCGCGTTCCCCGTACCGGAACGTCCGTACCCAAATGCGGTACCGATGCGTTCCAGTTCGCGGTGGTTCGCGATCTAGTTCATCGACGACGGAGAACCCAGTTGTAGTACGATCTAAGTTGTAGTCTAAGAGTGACAATTGGGTTGTCATTTGTTTATAATTTCGGGTATAATTGGAAGTTTAAAAGACTTTCAAGGTTTCATCAATGGAGGAAGGAGATGAAGAATCGTGGAATGGAAGAGTGATAAGACTAATAACTGATAAGAAAACAAGTCTAATAAAGATTGTGGACCCCTATGTCCTAATGTCCCCTTCTCTTCTTATTATTTTTTTCTTTTTTAATTGTCTACACAAGTACACAGTAACTCTTTTTTGTACTGTGCTACAGGGCCTACAGTCGTATAGCCATGGGAATTGAGCAATACATTAAATGCAATTTCCAGCTTTATCTGCTTTTTTTTTTTTTTTAATGTATATATAATTAATTTATGGTAAATAGTGGAGTATCAATTATAAAATTATAAATTACAAAGCACTTATAAAACAAATGACCATACGTTCCGGGAATTCTAAAGGCTACGTTCCACGTTCCACGTTCCCGCACCCGTACCAAGTTTCGGAACATCCCGCGTTCCATGTAACATTGGTTCATTCATTGCTGATTTTTTATTCTCTCTATACTGGTTGGCACTTAGTGGTAACTATGTTTACCCCTAACCCTAAGTCAATGCAACTAGGGGTCACTTTTCAGCAAGATGTGGAGATGGTTTTTACATAAATAGGTTTTGAGTGGAAGTATAAAAATCCCCTTAAAAGGAAAAAAAAATAATAGTGGAAGTATCACTAGCAATGAGTAAGAGATAGTTCGAAAGTGTAATAGGTTGAAAAGGGAAAGAATACAATAAGGAAAATTTGCTCACTAATAAGAATGATATTAGAAAGTTAAAAGGCGCCATGTAATTGTCCAAATGAATAATATAGATTGAAAGAGAAACCCTTGTGGTCATTTGTTTTATTTGCATTGGCTGTAGGAAAAGAGGAGGTTCTTTAAATGTCGGTATAGAGATAAGGAATTCTATTTGTGAAAATTGATAAAGTAAAGAGAAGATAAGAGAGAAATTGAAAAACTAAATTCTGATTGATCTTCTCCCTATTTGCTTCTTGAGTGCATATGCATCATATGAGTATTATGATTTGAACGTACGAGGCCCAACCCAATAAACGGAGACAGACAAGGTTACCATGCTAATGAAAAATAGTACATCCTCCCTTTGATTTATTTTATTTTATTTTATTTTTATTGTTTTTATTTTATTTTTTTGTTTCAAAACTAACTATTATAAACGTCAAATTATATCATGTAGGATTTTGTTAGATTCGATTTGAAATGATTTTCAAAATATCAATTTTTTATAATATATAGTCACATATGATTGCATATGTTTGTGGTAAAAATATTTATGAGACCGTAAATCAAATTGTAACCAATATAAAGGATTGAGGGATGTATCCTATATCCCTTAGAGTATGTGTGTGGGGGGGGGGGAAGGGAGGGAAGGGAGGTGGTAGTGGTAGTGGCTAGGCTATGAAGTGTTCACTCATGGGCCTGGATGGTCTTGTCCATTTATGGCCCAAAGAGAAGTGTGATTCTAGTCTCATTATTAATATCAAATCCTCGTATGTAAAAAGAATCTTTAATAATACATGGGAATAACTCTTGTATATTAATTTAGACTTTAGTTGGTAGGAAGTTTGGAATCCAAAATTTATAAATATGTACTTTTCACTTTCTAACTCTTTGACGAGTCAATGTTCTTACCTCTATATGATCATATTCTAATGATTTGACAAAATATATATTGCAAAATGTATATGCTTTTCAGCCTTGGGAAGAAAGGATGAAAGATGCCCATGATCAGGGAAGACTTGTTCTACTTCAAAATTTGGATCCAACCTTCACCTCCTCCGACGTTGAGGTAGAGTATTTTGACAAGAAGTTGATTTTGACGTGACTATTTTATTCATTGCACCTTAAAGGATTGAATTATGCATCTTCTTTGTTTCATTATTAAACGACCTTCTTTACAACTTGTATCATAAAGATGCAAACTAATCGATCCCATGATTCCTATCCCATCTTTGTTTTCAAAAAGTGGTGGCGCACAAGTGTATCTTACATACTCCCTTAGTATTAGCATTTACATTTTTGTTTTCATTTTATTTTTAAAAATTGTTTCAATTTAGTTTTTACACTTGGATTATTGCTATAATTCATCTTTCCTTCAGCTAGTGGTGGCAATAGGTCGAATTCGATCCCGATTCATTTTGTAGATGTTAATCCAGATTGAGATGTGCATGTAATTGTTTTTCGGTTTTTAAAAAATTATTATCTTAGATATTTATATTTATTTAAATCGATCTTAAAATTTATATTTATGTTAATTTAGTTTATTTATAACACAAACAAAAGTTTTAAAATTAGGAATTAAATATTTTCAAAAGAATCAAATTAGCTAAATATGACCAAAACAAGAAACACTTAAATTATTTTTAGTTTTTATTAGAAAGTCAAATTAAATAATAATATCTTACAAAATATTTTAATAAAATATAAAAAACACATCTAAGGGACGGATTTGTATTGACTCTAGATCTCAAAAAAGGATCCATGTCCAATTCATTAGAAACAGATACCTAGATCCAAAATTTGAGATCTAGTTGCCATTAAAATATTGGGGTCCTACTCTCTTTCACATCTTATTTTTTAGGAAAAAAAAAATCAAATAAATATTAATTGATTCCAGGCTACCTAAAACTTTTTCTATAGTAAATGTCAAAATTAAATTGGGACTGGAGGGGGTAATAGTTTTATTATTGCATTTATTGATATTAGGAATCTAAATTTTTTACAAAAATGTCGTTACAAGACAAGAATATGAAGAATTAAATTAAAATCCGTTACACAATTACCATAAAATAAATAGGTTTGGAGAAAGGCAAACATAGTATTTCTTTTTTTTGTTTTTCGGACTCTTTATTTTATCTCAAGAACCAGTGACAGTTGTGTACTTGGAACTTCATAATGCACCAAAATCATGGCATTTTTTAACGACACTTGTACACGTACCCATGTTAGGCATCCATGTCCGAGTAACATAGATTTTTTTTTAACTTTGTAGGTTGCTTACTAAATCACTAGTATGTTGTATCACCATCGTCATACTCATCATCTTCATCTCCACTAAGTTCTTTTCTATCTCGCCATCATACATCAAAATGTTTTGGTGATTTATTGTTGATGATTTTAACACCTTTTCCTTTATGAACAATTTGTTTTTTTTTGGATAATAGATCAAGAGATTGCTAGAGGGGGAGATTACGAAAATTGTGTGCAATTTTGCTTGCACTTTTGTTCATTTAATGGAAAGGAAAGGAGATTGATTTGTAGGAAGTAGCTGGAATTTCTTATACATGTATCTCCATAATAATTTCTTTTAATCTTTAGTTATGAACTGTATTGTATGCAGAATATCGTTTGGCATGGTTTTGGTGAAAGTTGCAACGCAAAGGTGGTTCAACATACTGCAACATCTAGTCGACGTTTCGGTGTGTCAATACTACTATTATCTAAAATTATTTTTCATGGTGAAGAATGTTACCTATGATGAAGCCTTTTTCAACTCAATTTATAGGTTTTTTTTAATACAATATTGCAGGACAAGCATTTGTCATCTTTAAAACACGGGATTTAGCAGAGAAGATCATAAAAAGGTTGGACAAAGAGTGCTTAATGCTCCCAAATGGAAGGTGTGTTATAATTGATACAATTTATGTGTTTATTTATAGTCTAGGATACTTGAACATGCTACAATAGGCATGTTGGTGCATAAGACACGTGACTCATGACAATACATCTTGGCCACGCTGAATAATTGTGTCTGTTTTTTTTAGTATATTCGGACACCTGAACATGAGTTGTGTCCTCTATGACAAGACTTGTTAAAGTGAAGTAGGAGAGAGAATGCAAGGTTTAATAATGTGTTTTTTATAGCTGATTTTTTTGAAATAAAAAATGGATGTGAATGAATGCAACGAGATGTTGAATTTGAAGAGTGAGGAGTGGAGGAGGAGATGAAGCCAAAGGAAACAAAAGCAAAGCATTGTTTTGTTTTTTGTATATGAATTAAAAGATTAAGAAAGCAACGTATGATTGCTGCTTTTGATGTACTTAATTAGTTAATGTGAAGTGGGTGAAGTGGTAGTATAGGATTGAAGAGTGAGAAAGAGGAAAACTATGTAAGTACTTTCCGTTAATTCAGTTTCTAAAAACTAAAAATAGTTGGGTTTATGCTTGGAAATAAATCCTTTATTTTGTTATTTTGTTTATGCGACAATGTTTATCATAATTTTTTTTTAATTTTTTTTTTTTTGCCTTTATAAAGATAACATAAATATTAGATTTTCATACTAGGTTATTTTAGTGATTTATTAAATTAATTTTTAAATTCATTTTTTAAAAATAAAAAAAATTATATGAGCTGTAGCATGTTACATTTGATTTATATTATTGAGCGTCCGTTGGATTTGCTTTTGTGATTTTGGAAATAATTACTTTTAGCAGCAATTTACAGGAACTTTGAATAGCTGAAGAGTTATATATACTTTCTAGTTGCCTGTAAATCTCAAATGTGCTTTTAACTGTTATTCCCTTTTTGTTATAGGGTTATATCATGTATTATAACTCTTGATTTGATGCCTTTGATAGCCAGATCATAACTTCTTCTGTTTTTTTTCTTTTCCTTCCAGGCCTCTTGTTGGCAGTAGAAATGGTATATGCTTTCCTGGAAAGCCTTCTCAGTTTCCTGGTCACCTGATCGTTGATAAACTTAGACACCAAATGCAGCGGGAAACGGTAATGTGGATTTTGCAATTGCATCAATTTTTACTTGACCTTCCGTCTCCCCATTTCTCACTACTCACCTTGGTTATAACTCTCATTTCCTTTTCGCTCTGACTCTTTTAATTATTAACCAATTTTTATATCTGAATCCTTTGTCAGAGGGATGCCGTATCTACTTCACATTCTGCTCAGCCAAATACAATTGAATATGAAATGGCACTTGAGTGGCGCTTACTTCAGGAAAGATCGGAATTAACATGGAAGATGTTGTACAAGGTATACAAATTTCTATGGACTATGCCTTATTTTATTTCTTCAGCTGATCATATATTTAAATTACTCGTTTAACTCTGTCGTAGAAACAAGAAGAACAGATTAAAAAAATAATGGCAAACAAGAAGTCAAAATGAGGTAGTTGGTCTTTTGCAGCTCTGGCTTTTGACAACTTGTGTAGAATTTAACTCTCTCCAAAATTGCAGTGAAGTCGAGTAAAATCTTAATTTCTTGTAAGTGCTACATCTTTGTTGCTCATCGGTCTTTTTATTCTTTTTTCTTTGGCTTGCGCGAACTTTCTCACATACTAGTACTCTGTATTTTGTTAATTAACTGAGGTTTCTTTCATGATTCCAAAAAAAAAAAAACAAAATAAAAATAAAAATTGCAGTCGGACTTGGCCTAAGTTAAACATGTCATCATGGACCAGATTTGGCCTTCCGGTAGGGACGGTTGCTGTTGAAATTTTGGGTGATTTTGGCTCAGCAGCATCTAGAGACTTCTGCGGTGGTGGTTAGTAGCATTGTGTCTCTTATGTGCACAATTTTTCTCATCACCTTTGCTATCCTTTTAAGTCTCAAACAAAAGTGTACATATCTGTAAATTTACAAAACTCTCATTTCCTTTTCTCTTTGGTAATGACAATCATTAGTGTTCTCTGTTGACATTGCTTCTAGCGTTGTGCAGTCTTTTCTCGTTCAATGTTTTATATGAGTATTATCTTCGCTGCCTTCATTAATTGCTATATTGGTGTACTAGGTTTACCTGCAATGTTTCACTATCTACCTATTTGTTTTTGCAAAATTATGTTCTAAAATTCAATTCAGTTCACGTCAGCTTCATTCAGCTCAAAGGAAAACAGGGTTTTGGAATTTTGAATATTAGTATTGCTTTTGGAATTTCACAAGTTCACAAGGTTTGAGATAGCTAATCAAATAAAACTTCAAGACAGTTGAAAGCAAGTGAGAGTATCATTTGGTATTTTCATTAATTGATGTGTCACCAGCTCACCACCCTACCTGCCTAAGTATAAAAAATATTGTATCATACTACCTAGTATAGTCCCAAGATCATGTTGATGGGATGCAATGTTGATGGATGTTGAGTTTAATTAATAGTTAAATTAGTGTTAACTTCTCATATTGTTCATTGTTATAGGAAGGGTAATAAGGTAACCAATAAGTTAGTTGATGTAAGAGTCGTCCAAGAGAAGGTGACTTATTGCGATGTTATTCCGATCAAAATAGGGGATCTTTTATTGGGAGAATGTTGTTGGAGTGGCTTTTCCACGTGTAGTAGTTTAGTCTTTATTTTTTGTAGGCTTGGTCCTCTTTATGCACCAAACATATTTATAGCTTGTTTGGATATAGGCATTTCATTTCAAATGATGAATTTGGATTTGGATTAGGGTCATTTGGATATGACAAAATAAAAGAAGTCATTTTCAAATTTCACTGACTTCAATTTTCCCTGTTTATTACCCTAACTATCCATGTCTTGTGTTTTTTAATTCATCATCAACAATGAAGACTTGAAGATTACTTTGATATATATTTTTTGGGAAATTCTATATGGTGGCCTCAAAGTTTTATGTTTTCGATTTGAAAGACACACTTTTTTCCAACTCTCTTAAGTGTCACTCTAGTTTTACATAATTAAGTATAGTGACTTCTTTTTATCTTTATGGCTAACTTTAATTGATAAATGGTTAACCTTAGTTATATTAAACTAACCAGCCCCTCCTCTTTTAACTAAACCACCACCCAGCCACATACCACCCTTTCTCAGCCATTCCCCTCCCCCTCTAACAACCGCCACCCAACCTCTCTCCCCTACGCCGGCGAGTCGGCGACCCTACCCTAACCCACAAAAACCCCATCTCGACACCCCACTCTCCCTTGTCTACCACCACGAAACGGCTGCCCCCTAAACCTAAACCCACCTAGAATCGCTGCCTTATAGCCCTAAACCACCCTAAATTAAACCCGCTTAGGGTTTTGATCCAGGTTTTAAGTTTCAAATAGCGGATAGGTTAGGTTTTCGAGGGTGGTGGCTAGCAGGGCTTTCGATTTTCGAAGGCAGAATATGGGTTTTGATTTTCGAAGCTAAGGCTGAACATGGGTTTCGGTTTTCAAAGGCTGAATATGGATAATCATATGTGGCTGCATTAGGGTATTGAGGGTCTTCGAACGCCGGTGGGGGTAGAGGAGGGTTGTGGTGTCGATCGGTCGCCGGTAGGAAAGGGGAGGGGTCGGGGATGCTGGCAGGGGGAATAGGCTGGGTGGTGGTGGTGGGTTTTTTTAATCATTATTCATTTGAGGGTAGGTTAGTCTTTTTACTAAATTAGGTGAGATAATGAACCATTTGAGTGTTGGTTAGTTGATTTAATGACAATTAGGCCACTTTAGGGTGTTTCATGAATCTAGAGTGCCACTACAGAAAACTCAAAAAAAAAAGTGTCTTCCAAATAGAAAACATGGAACCTTGAGGCCACCATGTAGAATTTCCCTAGTTTTTTTCCCCGCCATTGAAGCATGCTTAGAACTCGCCAATGATAAACTTGACAGGATAAAGTCGAATTACCTAGTCAAAAATAATTCCGAAGTCCTCTAACTATGCAGGTAGGGAAGAAGGGTCGAACCACAAGAAAACTAATCAATTTATTCCTAATTAAATTAAATAATCTAAATTATTAAGTAACTAAATTATTAACATGAAAAGTATTAAACTACGGAGATCAAAGTTAAAGGAGAAAATCAATTAATAAAAGCCTAGGGTATAGGTTCACCAGTAAATAATATTCCAATGTAAAATACAATAATCAATGCATTAATTAATCAGATCATAAAGGGTTTTCGCTACATATTACAATCACAGAATTAATCTACCGGTATTAAATCGCATGTTTTCAATCTTGACTCAACTATTTATAAATTAACTTGTCTATTGAAACTAAGTCTAAACATCAATTCTCATATGTCGAATCTCGAATCAATGTTGCAAAATCCATACAATTAAACCAAGCCTAATCTAATTCCATAGCATTAAATCAATTAATAGGAAATAAATCAAGCATTGACAATCAACAATGATAAATTACCTCTTCATATTATTTATGAATCCCTACAACCATAGAAAATAATCTACTCACACATAATTAAATCTAAACTAATCAGCAGATAAATTACTGAAATAAAAAAGGAAGAAATTGTTACCAAAGCTAACGGAAATAATGAATTGAATTAAACCAAGAGTTGTAGAGAGAGAAAACAAGAGAGAAGTTTAAGCTTAAGAGAAGATTAAACTAATGAAAGAGAGATAATTGTATCAAAAGCACTAAAACGTATTTATACAAAGCATAAAAATCCTAATTAAAATCTAAGTAAAAATTGCCAGAAAATAGCTCCATGTCACGCGCCTGGTCGGGCGCCAGCTTGCCCGGCCGAGCCCGCCTTTTTAGTTCACGAGACTCCTTTCGCGCCTGGTCCGCCGCGAGACAGGGCGAAGCACGCTTCCTTTGCTCTTCCGCCCAGCCCGACTGGTCGCGCCCCAGGGTGAGGTGCCTGACTGGGCATGGCCACTTGGGCAAGCTTTGGCACTTTGATTGGGCTTTGATCCTAAGCCCAATCCGGACTTCCACTTCGGGACTTGAATACTCGGTCCAAATGCCTCGGTTTCTTCAAAGTTGAGCCGTTAATCATCGGTTTGATGACTTCAACCGGCCTTAGGCTACGAAAGATGGTCGTACTCCTCCAATGCTTGTAGTTGCTCCAAATAAACCCGGGAAAGAGCTCCAAATACTCAATTTCCTATAAAACATAACCAAGACTATGAAAATACTAGAAAGCACAAATTAGTAATAAAAGTGGCTCTAAACAGCTAAAAATACTCCTAATTATGACCACGGAACGGGGGTAAACCACTATATAAAATAGACATATCAAGCCTTTTGGGTGTCGTCTACTTACCTCCTTGGTGAAAATTACCTCCATAGCCACCTCTTCCACTCCACCATTGTAGATCTTCCACCTTCGTCTTCACCTTCTAAAAAATGATGGTCGAAAAAAGCCTTTAAAAATTCTCTCTAATCTTAAAATCTCTCTTATTTTCTTCAAATTTTCTAAGTAATTTAAGTCTAACTTTGGGTAATTGTTGAAGCATTGAAAGTTGCAAAGGCTAATTTGAAATGAATAATTTGAAATTCTAAGATTTATCAAACAAAGAATTTGGATTTGAAAGTCTATATTTGAAATTCTAGATTTAAATTCCAAATCTGAAATGAAATGTTTGAATCCAAATACTACCTTGAAAGTCACTCTCTCCTATTCTTTTTGTTCTTTATTTTGCATTTCTTTTTACAAAAATATTTTCCAAATGAAAAGAGTTAAGAGAGTTAGAGGAGAAAGTGTCAAAGTAGCACTTCATCTTGAAATTTGAGAATTCAAAACTAATTTTCAATTCTTTTGTTAAATTAGACTATAGTACAGATTACGAGAGTAGCAAAATTTGAACTTATTGTATTGCTTACCTTGTAATGTAAAGTTCGCTAAACTAATCAAAGAAGTTTTACTACCTACTATGTTACAAAGATTACAACTAAACTACATAACAACTTCCTTACAAGAAACAAACAATTTAAAAATCCGCAAATTTGCCTTCGAACATGCTTTAGGAGATACCAAATATTACTTTTGCGTGCTTTGTATCCTATTTTCCATTGAGAGCTTGGAAAATGAATATAAGTGCATAGCACACATAGTTATTGGCATACAATAATTTAAGCTCAAAAAGACACTAGAATCTTTAACTTGGCTAAGGATGGAGGAAGGAGAAAGCTAAGAAGTGATTATGCCTTTAATCTGTTTACAATTTATCCAGGTAAATTTACAATAATACCCCAAATATTTTATGACAATGTCGATTTTACCCTCTTGATTAATGAATATCCTTGTATTTTTTTTTCTCATCATAAACTAGAATTAGGGTGAGATTCATGCTTAAAAGAACACATTAATCGGCTTTTGTAATTTGCATCAATTCTGGACAAGTAAAAAGTATTTGATTATATCTGTAGTTCTACTTAGAAATTTGCAGTGCTTCCTTTTGCATTGGACTCTAAAAACATTGAAAATTATACTACAAAGTTTTGTAATATTTCGTCGAGAAAGGAATCTGCAATTACAATAAGCTTTCAGTACATAGTTCTGCTCTTTTTACGTGGACTTTGCTTGCTATTTTGGTTGAATTTTCAGTTGAATCTTTGCTGCAAAATGAACATACATAATATGCACACTATGGACGTGAATTACCTGGGTTTACACTACAACTTTGTTGCCGGATTTGGATTAAAATCGCTTCACAATTCAAACATAATTTCTAGATTTCTGTCATGTTGTGTTTGTTGTGAATTATTGCTTGCTATTTGTAGACACCTAAAAATGTCTTCCCGAAATCAAACCCGATGATGAACAATCTTTCACCGCCATTATTGGCCGGGTTCAGTATTTAATCCCGAGAGTGCTTAAAAATCGTATTAAATTAAAATCAGTTTTTAATAATCCATGAATCAGTCTTGATGTTTAGTCAAAGCATAGTTTATTTTTAGTTTTAGCCCACACCTTTTTTTATTTTATTGATTTTTTTGGCCCAAATCTTTTTATTTTGTTTATTTGATTA